ATAATAAAATATAAAATATAATAATAAATATAACTAAATAATAAAATATAATAATAATAGAAATATTATTACAATATTTTATTCCAAATATAGTTTTACAATTGAAGTACAAGGAGTGTAATATGAAAAATATATCGAATTCTTTATAATAGTGATCTCAATAATTTTATTAAATAGCAAAAGCAAGATCAACTCAAGAAAGAGTTGTGTGAAAAAAACTAGATTGCTTTAAGGTATATCTAGTATTATAAAGATCTATATATAGTTATTCCAAAACATCTTCGAGAATCAGATCTTATTAAGTAAACTTTAAATAATTATAATTATTTTTGTAATGCATAATATAATATATGTATATATGTATGTAAAATTAAAAACTCAGAACTTTATAAGCTTAATATTATTAATTGATATAGTATCACTTTACAGAATAACAAAATGTAATTTAGCATATATTAATTATTCGTTATTACAATAACATCAAGGATGTTGTTTATTTCATGTTATTTTTATCATTCTTAACTATATTAATGATATTTTTAGTACTTTTTTTTCTTAAATTTTTTGTTCTTTCCCTTTTCTGTAGTGGTATATATATCTAAGAAAAAATAAATACAAGTAAAAATATTAGTAAACAATAAACATATTGCTATAAAATTTTTTTGCATATATATGTTCAGGTAGTAGTTTAAACTTATATACAATTCCATCATCCTCCATAACTCAGAACAATTTATCTTTTTCATGGTTCAATTTAACCTCTTCTAAAGAATCTCCCATTAGCTACAAAACTTGTATTATATCCTTATATATAAATATATAACTATAATAGTCTAAAAAAATCATTCTATAGTTAATCTCTCTAATAATAATAATATGATCGAAGCTGAATTTTGCAATACACTGAATATATAATTCAAGTTCTTTTGGATCATTTCTATCATTAGGAAGCTCATAACTAATGAAAGTGCAAGATAATAACAGTTAGACTCATTTACAAATATATCAACTACCACAAGTTTATTTTTGCAAAGTGCTTTATCTTGTCCTTCACATTTTGATATCTGAGACATGGATTTATGACTTTCAATTGTCCTCCTAACTTTTTGGGTAGGACAAGGGTGTGCGAATACAAAACAACATGGTTTTATCAAGATTTCTGTTGTTTATATAATGTCTCCCATGGTATCTATTCTGAACAATTTCCCAAAGGATATCTGCAGTTTGCTATTGTTCTTTGGTTAGAGCAGGCTCTGAACCCCATTGTAATATCTTCATTGTTTTTACTCTTGATACTGGTGCTTCCTTTTTCACTAGTTTGCAATAAATCGATATATCAAACATGAACCTCAATATTTTTTTTTGTTTTAAGTATGTGAGATTTACTGTTCGAGAACAGTACAATAAGGTTAGTTCTATCTTTACTATCTTCTCAACTAAGAGTTCCAGATCTCTTGCAAAGTATTTGTTCTGCTCTTGTAGTGTTGCCTTCTGAGGGGTCAGCTGATATAATATGTCTAAAGAAGGCATATTTATTCCACACTATTATCAATAAAATCAGTTGACATCAAGACAAGCTTACTTTCTTGCCTTCTGGGCCAAATGGAATCACAATTCTCTCCAGTAATCTATGCAAAAAATTGGTTTGTTGAATACATTTGAAGACAATTTTTCTGTGCAAAAACTTTATCTAAATGGTTGTACAAATTCTATTATAAGCACTCTCTGCTATTGTTCTTGTAAAGTGTCTAACCAAACGTAAAAACTTTGAAGATATATACAAAATAATAACAAACAAAGTGTAAATGAAATTAAAGTGTTACATGAAATGAAAAATAAAGTTGGTTAGAAAAAAAACTATGTTGAAGTACATAGTGATCAACCAATAGTATTGAAATATTAACCTTAGAACTTTTTAATATAAACTTGGACTACTGATCTACAGTTCTGATCAATCATATGGTCGCATAGCCTGTTTCAATTCCATAAAAATATACAGACTTCAAAAGCCTTCAATTCCTTATGTAGACAAGATATCAAAAAATTGATCTGTGAGTTATCGGTAAGTTTTTTTATATCTTGTCTGTATAAAAAGTTGAAGGCTTTTAATTTTTTGATTACGTGATTGTCGAGTATAGACCACGGCACCATATTAAAGTATCCATACCGAGGTGGTGGTGCATTTTGCGCATTGCTTAAATTCTATGATAATGTTAGCGCGTATTGAATATCCAAAACTCATTTTGTTTAGTCAGTTAATTTATATTGTATATCTCGCATTAATAATGTAACGCATTAGGATGTTAAACCTTATTTACAAAGAAATCTTGAGAGCTTTAGCATATTAAATGACACTGTATTTATTAATCAATTAAAATCAATTTTTATTCGTAAAGTTAATTTAGAAATAATAAGTAGTGTGAATATAGTACTATCTATTAGAGGGTTTCAAAGTTATCCCAAAATAAGTTGGGGTTTAAAAAATCGGATTTGTATTTTAAATTTTTGAAATCGGAAAATGAAATAGCTGTGTTTAAATTATGAAATATTTTTTTAAAAAAAATAACAATTGTTGAATAAATAAGCTTACACTTATTAAAAAATAGAATTTATTTTGAAACAAACCCACTATTGATATAAAATACGAACTAAATTATTTTCTGAATAAAGACAAGCTTTTTTATGAATCTAGAATATTTTATATTCATCTATTAAAAAATATGAAAAACTATCAACATAAAATGATATACTTCTAATTGGGAATTCATATACAAACTTTAATATTACTTATTTTGATTAAAATTATTTTTCATAGTTATTCCACCACAAAAAAATGGACCACTTTCGGAATCACAGCAAATGGATTTTTCACTCGGCTTGAAATAGAATATTGAATTGTACCATTTTTAATGAAAAAATAAAGCTATCATTACAACAGGATTATATCCACCAAGAATTTTATCAGCGCCTTTAGCTTTCATAACAATGACTACATTTGCTTGCTTATCACATAAATTCCAAAATGAATCTTTGGTAAAACCATCTCTGCTACTACGAAGAAGTAATTTGAATTAATAAGGATTATTTGATGTATCTGCTTTTTGTCGATCCATGAAGAAATTTCAGCTGCACGTGTTTCATTAATAATTGTTGAAAATGGTTCTATTGCTCTAGGTAGTAATATTTGTACTATGGTAGTCTGAGATGGGAGAATTTTTGATGATATTGGTTTATTTGGAGACATTAATCATATTTTTATATCTTTCCAAAGGTGGTTTTTTTTTCAAGAATTCGTTTATATGGATGTATATAATCACAAATATCATCTCCAGATATTTGGAAATACCTAATAAGAGGTAAGCAGTTTTGTAAGATAGTCTTTAATCTAGAAAATTATCATGAGTCCAATTTTTAGTATCGGTCGCTAAGTCATGATTTTGAGCAATTCCCCATTTAATGACATAATTCCAAATCTTTACTTCTTCCATTTGTAAATCATCTCGACTGATGAGTAGAACTACTGCATTTCTTGAAGTGAGGTAAAATCTTTAAACTCAAAAATCTTATCTGGATATCTTGCCAAGATATTATTGCACCATATTTGTAATTCCTTAAGAATATTACTTTTGAAACTTTTTTAGCGAAATGTAAACGAAGCCAATGAGATTTTGTTTCAATTAAATGATTTTTAAGATATTTAGCCAATTCATCAAGAAGAAATTCGCAAGCAATAAATATGAGCTCGAAAATAAATGATGTTTCTGATAGAACCCCACATCCGTATATGTACCTTTATATTTGAATTAATCATATAAAATTATCGGTAATTAAAATTTAATAAGTTATATTTAAATATATTTAAGTTAGAAATTAAATAGTACCTACTTAATAATAACATCAAATTCTTGAATAGAAACTTGGTTCAAATTAATTGTTTTAATGTTATTTTCATATTACGAAAAATATAATGACTGATATCTTAAAACAGCAGAATGAGCATGGAATATTTTATTATCAGGAAACTTTCTAACATTGATTATTACATTAAAGTCTTCTTTATCATTAAGAAGCTCAATATAATCTAATGAAAGCTTTTTAAGAATACAATTCTCAGCATTTTATTGGTCCGCGTGACTCTGTTAGTCACATATTGTCTATTTTTCACACGCCATTTTTCACACCTTATATATATATGGAATGTCATTTACATCCTTTAATCTTGATTATGTAATATTAAATCTTGCCGGTTTCCGCGACTATCTTCACTAAGCCCGTTACTCTTGCTTAGCACCTTCTTGATCCGTTAACTTTAGTCAACTCGAGTTCTATCCCAGAATGACTATGAATATTATCGTTATGTTAAGGTGCATGCCGATCATTTGAGAATACGTATTAATTATTTCGTTCTAACCGAATATATGTATATCTCGTGCGGAATTTCTAGTGGTAATGCTAGTGTGCGCTATGCCGAATTCGAGTAATTCAAAAAAACTCAGCCAAAATGAATATTGTTAATAAATCAAATATATTCTACTGATTATTGTGAACTTTGCCAGGTAAATATTCGAAAATGT